CAGCAGTTCCATTAAACCATTTAACCATCTTGCTATTGGCCTTTATTAGGTTTTTGGCTACATGTCATGAGCTGGTAACAGATGGCCTAAGGCTGCATGATACTTTGAGGGGGGGGGGTGTTTTATGAAGCCTGCAAACTCCTACTAGCATTCTGAGAATCATTTCCAAGGAGTAGCGTCCCTTTTTCATACTTTGAGAACAAACTGATATAAATGATGCATTCAAAAGTTTTCATAGTGGTATTATGACATCCAGAAGGCAAAGGGGTAGGCTTCCTGTATTTCTTCAGTTTTCAGATCTAATGATGCTGAAACCAGAAAGGAGGAGAATTTCATTCAGCCTTCATTTGTAAGCCAACTGACTTAATTCAAACCTCCTGGATTGGAAAGTAATAATCTTCCAGATTTTGCACTTCTCCAAAGTTCTCAGCTCAGAAAATAAAACCAAATTTCATTTTAAAAGTATGTATTTTGTATGACCAAAAATATGTTTAGATATGTGTACAGTGAGATAGAAATGAAATTTTAGTATTTTTAATATATTAATATGGAAACAGACAATAAACAGGCAATGAGCATATGCCAAATTATCAAGAACCAGAAATTGACTGATCTAATCTAAGTCAAAGCCATGAGTTTAAATGATTAAGATAGAATCCTGAACTCACTTAATAGGGAGTAAACTTCAACGAACTCAACAAGACTTACTTCTGATTAAGGATACAGAGGAACATTTATTTATATCATTTGTATCCAAAACCTTTCCAGGGCAGAGGGGAATCTTTCTCTTTCTCCCCACTGTTCACATTTTTTTCTTGAAGATTTCATTGTTCCCATCCTCACAATGAATGGTCAATAAAGAAATCTTTGGCACAGCTCTAGCTAAAGTAGCAAGCACCAAAGCAAGAACTTCTAAGTTCAGAAGCCATGCAGGAAGAAGAAACGTATATACAGAAAAGAGACCTTGGCATTGCAGTTCACACTGTTTCACATTACCTTGCTTAACTACATCTCTGCCCTCATCAGTGTGTATGCATTAAATGTGAGGCTCCCCATCAGAACCCAGCTGGGATATCATAATTTATCAGTCTCAAGACAATCCACACTGAGACTCCCATGTGCAAGTTACTGATAAGCTCAACAACATATTTGGACTTTTTGGAACTTAAAAAAAACAGTCTTCCTTGGAATGATCTTTTCTGTTAAAGTAAGGAGAGTGGACCATCAAGAAGGCTGATCGCCGAAGAATTGATGCTTTTGAATTATGGTGCTGGAGGAGACTCTTGAGAGTCCCATGGACTGCAAGAAGATCAAACGCATCCATTCTGAAGGAAATCAGACCTGAGTGCTCACTGGAAGGACAGATCGTGAAGTTGAGGCTCCAGTACTTTGGCCACCTCATGAGAAGAGAAGACTCCCTGGAAAAGACCCTGATGTTGGGAAAGATGGAGGGCACTAGGAGAAGGGGACGACAGAGGATGAGATGGTTGGACAGTGTTCTCGAAGCTACAAACATGAGCCTGACCAAACTGCGGGAGGCAGTGGAAGACAGCAGTGCCTGGCGTGCTCTGGTCCATGGGGTCACGAAGAGTCGGACACGACTAAACGACTAAACAACAACAACAAAGGAGAGTGAAGGGCAGTGGTGCCAGTAATGTTGTGCAAAAAGTTGAAAGAACTACAATTCTCAGCAGAGTTTTTCGGTTTCATTTAGAGACATCCCCAAAACATTTGTTGGAGAATAAATTTATGCAAGAGGCTGACTCGTTCTAGAGATTATTCAAAGCACACTGGCTTTTCTGGTTGTCCACATGCCTTCATCCACCAAACAGGTAGCTGATGCTTCAAAAATACAGTCTTGGTTAGATATGGATTTCATGATGGAAATTATAGTGGTGTCTTAGTACACAATAAAACAGTACCCAATGGAGCTGATGGGAGTTTCTGCCCAAAGCATCTGGAAGGCAACAGGCTAGGGAATGCTGGGAAATAGCCCATTCAGACATTTGGTGTCTGGGTTAAAATAATATTGCATGTGTGTGTGGGGGGGGTGAGTGAATGCGAAGAAGCCAGCAGCATAGTGGCTACTGAGAGGGACGGGGGCCCTGGGCACAAAATTCTGAGAGGTGCACAACCAGACACCCCCACAACAGGCTCCCTCAACATGGCTGAGCTCCTGCTGCCTTCCAGAGCTGCAGGGAGGCAATCTGTGTCCAGCCCAGGCCTTCGGGGCTGGGGCAGTGCCCCCTTCCTCTGTGTGGCCAGTGAAGTGACGCCTCTGTGTGCCCTGCCCCTTGGTTGGCAGACACCTTTAGGCCAGCTCTCCTTTCCCTCTGTGCAGGCTCCACAACACCCCAAGCCTCCCCCCTAGCTGTCCAATCCACCAGGGGGGCTCAACACTTGCCCTGGGCACCATCAACCCACGCTATATCACTGAGACAAGCATGCTAGCTCTGCCCTTCCCATTGCTGTCCCTGCTTCTCTCCACAAGTTTCATTTTAGTCAAATCTTCTCCTTCGCATGCAAGTTTTCCAGGGGTAGCATGACATGCTGCGGGGTTTAAAAGAGAAGGTGCAGACAGAGGCAAGGAATGAGCTGTATTTGATTACGCTCAGTTTTTGACATGCTGCAGTCTGAATCAAACTGAGCATACCTGGCAACCTTCTATTTTACAGCCTAGTCAATTAGGAATGTTTAGTTATTAATTATCCTCCCTCGGTGCAAAGGGGTTTGATGAGATGACTTTTGTGGTACTACGAATTATGATGAACTAAATGGTTTAAAGCACGAGGGTTTTGTTTATTTATTTATGAAGTCACCATCCTTTGGCACAAGAAAGAACCTGTTGCCCCTAGACAGATTGTCTAAGCTGGTGAAGGGCTCAGAGCTGCAAACATTGAGAATGTCTGTGCATGCTGACCCACCTCCAGGATTCAATTTGGGCCCAATCTGGCACTTTGGAATCACCCTGACTTGGGATGATTCAAGGCTGACCCAGTCCAGATCTAGGCCCCAAACTGATTTGGGGGCCTTGCACAGTCTTTTTCTCCCTCTCCTCACCATCAGACTCCCCCCCTTGACAATTCCAGATCACTATGACCGGGTCTGATCTGACTTGTGGCAATCCAAGACTGCCCCATCCTGTTGAACACCAAGAAGTGTTCAAGAGGTAAATGGACTCCATCAGAAGGTGGTGGATTCTCCTCTGGAGGTTTCTAAGCAGAGGTTGGATCTCCACCTGCCATCAATGCTTTAGTTGAGATTCCTGCATTGCAGGGAGTTGGACTAGATGACCCTCAGGGTTCCTTCTAACCCCCAAATTCTATGCATTTATGTTCCTTCCCTGCAGTTATATCAGTCTCCAATCTACAGTATATAAGTCTGACAACATTTTCCCTGAAGACACAGCTAATGAGCACAAAGGCAGTCACTGTGACATTCAAGTGTTATACCACAGTTTCACAACAGTTGACAAATGGGTCTGCAAAAGTGAAATAGTCAAGGGGGGGGAGGAAGGAGTGTGTATGTGTTAAAATGGGCATTGCATTTGCAAAACACATCAGAGTTGCACAGGCAGATTTAGACAGAACTTTATATATTTTTCTGAAATATCTTCTCTACCAAACCACCATAGCACAGTATAGATGCTTTACGTTTTCATGCAACACTGTGTGCTTGATGCTTAATGAAAAGAAAAGCAGAGAAGGAAAGGAAGAAGCACAAATAGCTCTTTTCCTCCTCCTTTAGTCCTGCCCATGAACCGGAAAACATGTTCTAAGATTTCACATAAGCTTGATATGGGCATACCGAATATCTATGAATAGATATGTCAATACTTTGACACACATCCTGCCAGGGAGGACCCAAGCAGTTTGCACCAGTTACATAGTAGGAAGAACAGATGATCTCCACCCCTTACTACCTTGGTCTCTCTCTCCCTTCTGTGTATTCCTCTCTGTTGGTGATAGGCTGTAAGTTCCTCGGGGCAGAGTCTTGTTTGTGAAACTTTACATGCAGCTCTGAACAGTTCCATATGAACTGACTGTGCAGCAGCAGCAGCAGCAACAATAATACATTAAATGATGATTATGTTTTAATTATTACAGACATTCATAATTCAATTCTTAATGGCAGTAATATTATTAAACTGGTTTCAACTGAATCATTCCCATACTGGTAATATGATCTCCAGCTTAGAATCTGCTTCAGTGCCTCTGTTGGAAGTCTACAGCTAGTACTTTTTTGCTCTCAAAAGCTCACTCAGGACTGACTAAACTCCATAGCAGAAACTGGTGTGCTTCTGTCTCCCTAACCGCCCACCCAAATCTCCCTGGACTAACTTTCTTCCTGCTATAACTTTTCGCCAAAGCGTAAGGAATTTGAGAAACAGGAAATACACCCCGCTTCCCTCTCCCCTTCATTTTTCTAACGTTCAGTTGCCTCACGCCTGTTTTGCTACAGTTAGTGAAAACAAAAATGCATTGTGGCTAAATATAGTCTGACAGTTTGGGGCTTGGCTCTCATGTTACATAGACAGTTCCATTTCTGTATATTGAGTGAGGCAGTAATGTCCCAGGAAAGAGAAAGCGGGGAGTGGGGGAAGGATATTAAACAGCTAAAAACTTCTTTACTTTATTTTTTTTTATGAAATACGATTAATTCCTACTTGAAACAACACTTTCTTGGTAAGTGAACAGTAACGATTCAGAAGTTTAAATCTGGATTTTATCTTCTCCAAGGACTGTTATGTTTGGATTCCTGCCTCAACTTCTCCACATTCTCTCTCTCCGCCGATTTCCCACAGCCACACTCACAAATGCAGGAAGGAAGGGAGTAAAGTTTCAAGGACACACTTTAGAAAGGCAATCTCTTTGGATTCTGTAGATACAGATGTATCCATCTATATATAATAAAAACTTTGCAATAAACTTAAGCTAGGAGTTGTACAGTTTGCCATTATAGTACGGGGGGGGGGGGAGAGAGAAATATCGAGTACTCACGTGGAGCAGATGTTGTACTGTTTTGAGAAGCCATCCTTTACGCATTCAAAACTGCCCCCCTCTCTCTCCGCCTGTCTTTTTTTAAATATTTTTTTTCTACTGACAGTCAGTCGGGCTTCCCTATCCGCAGTCCAAAGGCAGATGAAACTGCAACAGCTGGCAGGACTGGGAGAAACCAGGAGAGAAAGCAGCTCTTGTTCCGGAGCTTCTTGTCTGGTTCTTGACCATTTACCACTGGAAAAGGAAACAGCACATGTGTCATTCAGTTTGGCCTCTCCAGCTCACACGAGGAGGAGGGGAGGGGCACCAGTTTGCAGATAAGCACTAACTTTTTTTTTTTTTTTGCCTTTAGCCCTCCTATCCCTCAGCTAACTAGGACATTTCCACCTCCAGCAAGCAACAAGTTGAGACAAAGGCACCTTACTTTCAAATTGAGAGCCAAATGCATCTCATGCCAGCAATGTATAATGTAATATAAGGTAAAAACAACAGTGAATTTTAAAGGGAGGAGGGTGGGAAATGGTTACGCTGCCAAAATTGCGCAGGGGAGAATTTAACAATAGGACTTTCATTTTCTCTCTTTGCTGTGGCAGCTTATCTGACTCGCTGCACAGAGAACTCCCTGCCCCCACCCCTGGTCCCCTATGTTCAGCTTTGAGATATATGGTTGTGTCTGTTTGTTTCTGAGAGCTGAAGGCAAAGGGAACATAGCGTCAGCGAGCAAAAAGCAGCGCAAATGAAGCTGTGTGCTTGGTCCACTTTGGCCTGTGGCTAAACAGGTTTTGCAGGTTTGGAGGAAGTGTTTCCCAAACTGATGAAACTAATTTGTCCAGGGGATAAAAGTGGGAGGAAAGAAATTGGTGGCATACACCGGTGGGATAAGAAACAGGAGCTATAAATTGCAAGGTCCCCATTCCTAACCTCTCCTCTGCCATGAGATCATGATGCAACTTTGGGTCTTCTCGAGCACATCTTCTCAGACTCAGCTTCCTCCTTGCCCTTTGTGTTATGTTAATGATAGTACTTGCCTATCTTGCAGGGCCGATGTAAGTCAGGGGCTGTCAACATGGTGCCTGCAGGCTCAGTCGGTAGAGCATGAGGCGCTCAATCTCAGGCTTGTGGGTTGGAGCCCCACATTGGGCATTGCAGGGGCTTGAACTGGGTGACCCTCAAGGTCCCTTCCAACTCTACAGTTCTATGATACTTTGATTCTATATTTGTTTTGTTTTATTTAAAAGCATTTATAAATTGCCTAATATTTTAAATATCTCTAAGTGGTATGCAATATAAAAACAAAGAATAACATTAAACAAAAATGCCTCATAAAACCAACAAAGCGGTAGTATAAAAGCATATAAAAACCATAATTCAGAGAATTCAAATACATAAAACAGGGTCTGGTATTATGGGTCAGGGAAAGTATGGCAGAAAGATAAGCCTTTATAAAGACATCTGAAGCAACTGCTGGTTGCTGTTTCACATACGAAAAAGTTGAAAGGCATTCCATAGTACAGAAAAATGCCCATTTTGGAATTACTAACCTATCATATTCTGTAGGGTGTTGTACCACAAATGGAATTTTCCCAGATAATCTAAGTGATCTTGCATATCTATACAAGGACAGGCCATTTTTCAGGCGACCTGGGCTTCAGTGGTTCAGGGCTTTAGGGTTCAAGACCTTGAACATGGCCTAGCAGCTGATCAGTAGCTTCACTCCCCATCTAGCTTATCCTCATAACAATGTGGTATATGCTAGTTTCAGCTAGCTCAGTCACCCAGAAACGTTCATGGCTAAATGAAGATTTGAACCCAGGTCTTTCTGGTCCTAATCTGACACTTTAACTGCTACAGCACACTGGTTTTCTTAATCTTAATATTCAGTCAGGTATTACAGTATCACAGTGTGCTGCAAATCCAGGACCCTGCTGACAAGTGACACCTGATATCGATGCTTCCGTGCATTTACAGTATCACATAGCCCAGGGGAATGTTCCTCGAATGGCACTGTTTTCTTGATCTTCTGTCTGGTTACAAAGTGCTTTCACAACTACCTGGGAAACAAGCCAGACAGTGCAGCAACACGGTGATTGTGTCATGATCACCCTGGCAGGGGAGCTAATGCAGAGCCCAACATAATTCTCGTTCAGAAGGCATAGTTTCTGCTTGCATTTTGATGAGAATCATTTTGGTGCCAGGTATTTCCATAGCACACTGTGACTTCTCTGCAAGGAAAGAGGATAAGCTGATGCGCATTCTGTTAAATTGGAGATTAATATACAGTGGTACCTTGGTTCTCAAATGTAATCCATTCTGGAAGTCCGTTCGACTTCCGAAATGTTCGAAAAACAAGGCCCAGCTTCCAATTGGCCTAGGCACCCTGGAAACAAGAGCCGAAAGCCGCATCGGATGTTCGGCTTCCAAAAAACGTTCAAAAACCAGAACACTTACTTCTGGGTTTTCGGCATTCAGGAGCCAAAATGTTTGAGGATCAAGACGTTCGAGAACCAAGGTTCCACTGTATTAGCACCCTGATTCTCTAAGGTAGTGATTTTCAACCAGTGTGCTGTGGCACCCTGGGGTGCCTTGAATGAGGGTCAGGGGTGTCGCGGGCAACACTGACCACTGTCCCTCTTTCCTTCCCTACCTCCTCTGATGCGCTCTCATGTCTCTGCCTCCCAAAAGCTTGAATGACTGTTTGTTGCAGCAGTCCTGTCTACAAGCTCCACAGGCGAATGGTGCCTTTGTGGCTGGCCAGGGGGTGCTATGAACTGAGGCGGCCTCAGAGTAAGCAAGCAAGTGGATGAGGGAGCCCAGCCGGCCAGTCCACCAGCCCTTGCTGTTGGGAATGGACACACCTCTCTTTGGGGCAGTGGTGGTGAGGGGGGATGCAGCTCAGAGACCAGGGGCGGCAGCAGCAGCTTCCCAGAGGACTCCCAAGGAGAGGGGAGAGGAGAGGAGGCTGAGGGAACACTCCATAAGGGAGGGTGCTTGAAAAAGGGTGAGGCAAGTAGTGACATAACTGGGCTCCTGAGCCCCACAGGGGTGCCGCAGATAGAATGCAGTTGGTCAAGGGAGCTGTGGACTACAGAAGGTTGAAAACCTCTGTTATAAGGGGTTCAGAAAATCATTTTAGCCTCACAACTGCCTTCCTGTTTAGATTAAATTGACAAGCAGAAATTGCACATGGCCGCACAATGAATGTCATTGTCAAGCAAGGATTTCAGCCTGTTTCCCACACCCATCATCATCATCATCATCATCAACAACAACAATATCTGTATCCTGTCCATCTTACTGGTTTGCCCCAGTCACTCTGGGTGGCTTGTAACATAGATAAAACATAATAAAACATTAAACATTAAAAAGCACACAGAGATGGCGGAACTGTTGCCCTTCATCTCATCAGCCCCAGTCAGCATGGCCAATGGTGAGGGATGATGGGAGTTGTAGTCCTGCAGCCCTCCAGGCTGTTATCCCTGTTTTGGCCTCTCACCCGCATCAGAAGCAGTTTTAGAGTAGTATGACTGGAGTGGCTAAACTGAGTGCCATGCTGTTGGGGACACAGGCACAATGTTGTAGAATGAGAGGCAAGGGAGTGCTGAATTTTAGTGCCACACAGGGCACCACTGAAATTTGAGAGCCCAAAGTCCACCCCTGACCACATTACCTTACTGTTTGTATAGCAAATAGGCTGCAGAACAGGAGTGGTTCAACATTTTTGGGGGGGGAACTCCCCAATGATCTGTCTGGATAGACTTGCCTGAACAAAATGTTTCTGCATGCATTAGCCTGCCTAATATGAATATGAATAATATGTGTAAAAGAGTCAAACCCCATGTGGTACTATATTTCTGCAGCATAATTTTTTTATGTATTAATACATCATTATTTTTACAATTATACACAAACTGGGAGTGCGTATGTGTATAATAGGCAAACAATAATGTGCATATTAATGCATATAATATGTGGAATTGACAATATTTTTTAGCAGAACTGGCTAAAATATAATAATATCCTTGCTTCTGAGATCAAGGAGCGAGGTGGGAATTAGAAAAATAATAATCCATGCGGATTAGCTTGACGTGTAGAGTTTCAGAAAAATCCCATCCCTAGCATTGTACCATTACTGCTGTGATTGCCCTGTTTTTACTACTATTATTATCATATTATTTTATGTTGGAAACTTCTTTGGGACCACATGGGCGATCAATGGTTGGTAAATGTTACAAATATAAATGATGTTACAAATAACGTCAGAAGCACTGCAAGGGAGCATATGGGGTGTTAGGGTAGGGGTAGTTCCTCTCGTGAGGGACACATCACGTTACTTCTGGGATAGTGCACATTGTGCATTCATCTCTCACCTATGGCTTCTAGAAGCTGTCAGTATGCAACAGAGGCCCCACCCTGGGAATGGCTTCGAATGTTCCGGTGAGTTCCGGCTGAAAAAAAGAAGAAAAAGCCCTGCTAAAACTGGCATTTTGTTGAGTACAATCTATCAGCCCCCAGGATACATCAGGTATGGGAACTGTTTAGTTTATCTTTGCAGGCTTTTAACGTATGTCACAGGATGATGTAGGACAAAAAGCCATGAACATGAATGGTGCGTGACACCAAAGAGAAAAGTGGATTAACAGAAGACTGACTATGGAGAATGCAGGCTGGGAATTTCAAAGTGTGATTTCTGGCCCTGCAGCTTACCAAACATCTGCATGTTCAGAACTTGGTATTCAGCTGGATTTTTAACCTTTTTGGAGGCTTAGAGCCTCCTATCGTTGGCCCCATATTATCATGGGTTCATCAAGGGCTGTCCTTGTTCCCCAAGGGAAATATCCATATCAGACCATTCCCAGTCCCACTTGAACTGGGCTAAATGTAGAGCATGGGATACACACTGAGAACAAACAACAGCCTAATTCTCTTTCTTTCCTTCTGACCTCAAATGCAACTTCCCTCAGGGAAGCTGAGAAATAAGACAATGAGGAAACAAGAACGGGACCGCTGTGCCATTAAATTATTAAATTCCTCCTTGTCTGAACTTTCCTCTTACGCTTATATGCTGCAGGCAGTAAAAGCTGTGAAAATGAGGCAGCTGAAAAGGAGTGTAAAAGCAGCTTTTTGTTGAAAGGGAGTCGGATGGGCAGGATGAGAAAATTTCCCATGAAGCAGACTGGACTGTCCTGGAACAGGGACCTAGGTGGATTGCTCCTAGAGAGGAGGAAGATTGCCTATTGCAGGAGATGAACCCATGGAGGAATGTGACACGCAGAAGCAGTGGCGGTAGCTTGCCACCACAACCACGGGTGCCCAGGGCCACACACACCGTGGGAGTGTGCATGACGAG